TACAAGCAGGATCCCTATTTGACTAGGGATGTATTACAGTATACGTTACGTATAGTATAGTATTTCTCTAGTTGTATATATTATGTTTATATCCTTTTTTTTTCAAGAGATCCAGTTTTATTAAGTGCATTCTTTTTTATTAATATTTTTATACATATTTCCATAGTACTTACTTTTTTAAATTTTTATCATGTATTTTTTCGTTTCTGTCATCATAATATCTGAATTGTGAGATAGTAAAGATAGTGTGATGAATGAACAAAAGCCTCGAAAAGAAGGGAAATGTTTATTATATAACCCTAATTTTGAACAGAAGAAACCTTAGTTTTCTTCTGTTATTTTATTTATCTTTTTGATGTATTTTATTTATAGAGTCGTTGCTGCATGAAAATTTTTACTAATCGAACAAGTTGTAGACAAAAAATGTAAAAAAATACGTTAGAATCATCAATCATTCAGATGCGAAGTTATGAAATCTTATACTGGTGGTTATATAAGTTCTATTATCTATATTATGACATTTATTTTGCTGATTCTCACTGAGATTTTATCAAGAAAATTATCATATTTTTAATATAAATATTCAAGATTTTATTGCAAAATTTATTCAACTCGGTGACATCTTCGAATTGTCCGAGTTGTCTCCATGAAATCTTACATGAAATGTTTGATATCTTTACGATATTCTTTTCGACATTATTCACGTGTCTAGCGCATGTGATTATTTAAGTGATAGATAAAATAATCCTATTTATACAAAATTAGACCGATGTTTCCCACACTGTTATTACGATGTAAAATAATTCTACAATTATATAAATTGTAATGCAAATCGTGATATAATTATATAGAACCGTCTTTTTTTCTTATTATATAATCAACCGATATGCGATTGTTGTTACTAGGGATTTATTGTTATTCGATAATATCGAATATTCGATATTTTTTGCTGCTCAATATAAAAATATCGAATAAAAAATTATGAATAAAATATTAATATATATTTTTTTATTATTCATATTCACTCTCCATTTTATGTATACTTATAGAGTGAAATCATAGATGTTGTTCAAGATTCGAGATGGTCTTAAGCTAGAACATGAACCAATCAGAGAACCATATTAGCATCTTAATATATTGCTTGAGATAACGGATTATGATTTCCGGCCTTAGGAAGTTTTGAGTGCATTCGGTAATCGATAGGTCGATATTATCTGAACTTGACTGAGCGCTCAATGAGCTTTTATATTTATATATTGTTTGATTGTAGATCCAACAAAATATGCCATTAGATGCAGGAGCGTACTCAGTATAAATGGTGTCGAGTTTATAAAACAATGATCATTAAATACATTTTTCACTAATTATATTTCTTAACTTTTGTTTTTATTTTTTATTTTTGAGTTAATATAATTTAAGGGCTAATGATTAGTTATTGAGACGTAAAAGAAGGAATTCCATTTATTGTTTATAATATTGATTGGGATTATAAATAAACGGAGCCTTTTCTACTACAAATGATCAAATATCACAGATCTTTGTTCACAAGTTTTAAAAAAATTGGGAATGTTTTTTAATTTATTTTCAATATATTCGATATAATGTTTATTCATTCGGAATGAATATAGATAGTTTTAAAATATCTGAATATATTCATATTTTTGCTCGATTGACATGTCTAGTTGTTACTAAGAACTTACAATACTTTGTATTTACAGGAAAGAAATATTTTAATACAAAAAAAAAAGAAAAATGTGATAAGAAAAGTTTGATATATGCGATATCAACAAAAATCTCAAATACTTATAATTAAGATATAATTAAGATTCGATAATTTTCTTAAAATCTAAACTTGAATATAAAATAAAGCCTGTCATAGTTATTAATCTATGCCTTAAAATAAAATATAAAACACCTGATCGTTTGTACATAGAGAGAATTTTTTCTTAGTTTACCTTGAAAATATGATGGGACAACATTGTATTTCAATAATTTTAATATAAATCTCTCTCATTCATTAATAAAACTATAATAAAGTATAAAATAAGTTTGATTAATTTTCATTGAAGTGCATGGTAAAAATCTTTAAAATATTGTATTGTACCACAACTATATTTCCGGAGTAAATTTTAAAACAAAATTCTCTCCGTGTATAATAATCCATACAGCAGAAATATCCTGAATATATCATACAGATATCCTAAAGACATTGCGATATCTTTAAGCGGTCTCTATGATATAATGGACATTTTTGGAATTTGGACATTTCTGCTGTAAAGTCTCCAAAAATTGGAGATGTTTGTTGTGTTTCTCGAGATTTTTCCATTTCAGTCCTCTTATATACACACAACAGTGAGTCTCAAGCTACGAGCGTGCCCTCGGCTTTTCTGGGCGGAAAGATATCTATAATCATGTTTTTTCCCGTCTGGTGGAGATAAAACATGTCGTATGATCCTCCAATTGGTGCAACCTCCAGTTTTACTTGATAATGAATCGAATACGTGACACGCCTATTTTCATATTCGCGATTGCGAATACAAAAATAAGTCTTCCTCTTCTTTTTGTTTTTCTCCCTCTCTTATTCCGAATCAGCGATCTTGATGGTCAGTCTTTTTTCTAACTTCTAATTTTTCGTTTTTGTTCTTCCCTTCCTTCGAATTCCTTACTCTTTCAAAATATTGTGTTCAGGAATTGACTCAAAATAAAATGCGTAAACTCACGTGATACCATTTTCGATAAGGAGGGATTAAATGAAGACAACGCTAGATACGCCTGAAAGAAAATGATCTTTCCAATATTTCTCAGAGAGGTGTTCTTCTAAATGCATTAAATTCAGGTTTCTTCAGATAGTGGTTTCCAAAAACCTGAAGAAGAGGGAATGGAGAGAATTGGAACTTAAGACAGTGTCATCGCCTTTGAACTTGACGCACTGAACTATATATCAGAGGATTAGCTATCAAAACTCATCAATCACTGTGGCAAGGTTATCGTCAGTATCGTTTTAAAAAAAGTGGGGAAGTTTTTGTATGCGATCAGCATGACTTAACTGGCCAGTTCGTTTAAAACATTATATGTCAACGGTGACGCTCCGCCGCATCGTCGATTTATCTGTTTGTGTCCGATTGAGATTTCTATTCAAACGCGTTGGAGATTCTAATCATTTGTTGCTACGGACGTAGATCTTTAAAGGACAGTGTTCCAGCAAATGATTTTGATTTTGGAAACTGCTTTTTGAAACTGAAAGACTCAGTTTTGATCGAGCCTAAATTAAAAATTGAGATTTTTTTCTGATTTCGATAAAAATTGAGATTGTACGGTTAGCATCGATTATTGTCTCTTTCATCAGTTGGCGGTTACCCTGGCGGTCGCTATGACGATCTCGATGACCGACACTGCCTTGGATATAGAAAAGAAGGCGATCGGGCGTTGCGGTCGACGCAGTCATCGTCTTCGCATCTGGTTCACCTGGATTTACTGCGGCATCTTCCTGATCAGTTCCGTCGGCTTTTACATGTTCTGGTACACAGACGCGATCAACAATTACATGTTGTCGTTTATGGAATTGCGTAACGGCACTCTCATCTTTGACTGGTGGCAGTGTCCACCCTTGAAGATGAAATATAAAATCTATATCTTTAATTACACGAACGTTGACGAATTCGAGGCGAACGAGGTGAGCAAGCTGCACGTCCAGGAGCTTGGTCCGTACGAATATCAAGAGACGATGTCTCGCACGAACGTGGTATTGAACGATAATGGCACGATCAGTTATCAGACCAAGAGATCCTTTGAATGGATAGGCGGGCGACCCGAGAATGATATTGTGCTAGTGCCAAATGTGCCGTTGATGTTCACCACCGCTTACGTCCGGGATCTGAGCTTCGCTGTACGATTCGTTACTAACACAGTGCTGTCAACTCTGCAAGAGCAGTCGTTCATTAACGAGACTGTCAACGGTTTCCTCTGGGGATATGACACTCAACTTTTCCACATGGCCAAACCGTTGTTAATGCTGCAACATGACATACCCTTTGAAAAGTTCGGTTTGCTGGCCATGGTGCGTGATTACATACGTTTAACCGCGGAGAGTTTTCAATTTTATTAAAAATTTTATTTCTACTTATGTTGGTATTCATATAATCGGTTCTTATATTTAAGACAGTCTTAAGTACAGTCTTAAGATCTAATAAGTCAATCACAGCGTCATATTAGCATATTAGTAATGTCTTAAGATGATCCAGAGAAAACAAGAAAACTAATCAATTCGACATTATATTAACCGAATTATATCATTTTTTTTTTTATTCAATTAATGTGACATTATTTTGACTTTTTTGTTTTTCTTAGGGAGAATAATTTAATTTAAATATCTTAATAAGAATTGATAATGAATACTGATTATAAAGTACCAATCTTAAAATATTTACTTTATAACGATAAAATAGCTTTTTCCTAAAAAATAAACATTATGAAAGGTAATTCTATCACGGCGTTATAGTGAGATTGTCTTTTGGATATATTACGATAATATTACGATATGATCTTTCAATTGCGATTAACGTGAAATGCACATTTTTTAAAATAGAAAACTGGTATCGATAAGGATCGCATCACAATACATACGGGATCGCAAGATGTGAAAAATTTCGGCGTGATCGATCGGGTGAACGGAGTGAACCGCCGAGTCATTTGGGATGACGAACAATGTGATAAAATTGAAGGCACTGAGGGTGGCATATTTCCACCACATTTGATACAGGACACAAGTAAACCCCTTTACATGTATGCTAAGGATATTTGCAGGAAAATATCATTCCATTTCACCGAACAAGTGATTAACTATGACATACCTTCTTTAAGGTAAATAAAAAGTTAAATTTTGTACTCCATTGCATCACGATTTAATTGCAAATTTTGATCGCTAAGTAGAGAAAAGTTACATTATATTCTTGAATATTTCCAATTAGAGTCTCAGGATATTCTTTACATAAATATTTAAGAAATTTGTTCAAATTAGTTCCATGCTATTATTAATAGAAGATTACAAGATTATTATTAAATAATAATCTTGTAATCTTATCATATTTCAAAGCGTTTTTTTCTTATAAATAAATCCGTCTAATGAAATGATAATAATTGCATAGAAATTTCGGAATTTCTTTAATTATTATTATTTATTATTTATTAATACTTTATTATTATTTATACTTTTCTACGAATACTTTCTATATAGAAGCTATCTGTTTCACGGATTATCTCTATGTGTGTATATTCATTCTTGAAATATTAACGTTTCATGAACGTTACAGTTTACTTTATCGGGATGAGAAGCAGTCTATATTGCTCCTCGCATTATAATAATAATTATTATTACTATAATTATAATAATAAAGATAATAATAATTATTATGATTATCATTTTATTGATTTAAAGAGATTTGTTTATTAGATTATAGATTTATTAGATTTATTAGATTTGTTTAAAAAAGTAATTCGAAAATGAGAAAATTACTATTGTAGTTTTCTATTGGAAAATATAGTGAATTGATTGAAGACACGTCTCTCTTGACATGTGATTTTCTTTCTCGTCTCAGATATAAATTCACGCCAGATGCATTTAACTTCTCAAATAAGCAAAATGAATGCTTCTGCCCGAAAGTACATGATAAGAGAGTCTGTCCGCCCTCAGGACTCTTTAACACGTCCAGGTGCAATTATGGTACCCCCTTGCTTGTATCATTTCCGCATTTTTATGGTGCCGATAAATCTTTGCTGGAACAAATAGATGGTTTAAATCCTCGGCAGGAAGATCATGAGACTTACATAGACATACATCCGGTAAATCAACACTAAATTTTAATTATTATATGTATTATTATATGTATTATATTATCATGATTAAATATTTATTTAACTTACAGAAATTTATAATTTAATACTGACCAATTTAATAAAAGATTACTATAATTTTGAGTATTAAATAATAGTCTTAAAAGCACTAAATAATAGTCTTAATATACGCAAAACAAACAAGTAATTACAATTTATTACTGATCCTTCCAATACTAAATTTCTGTAAGGGTAAACAATTATATCACGTCAATCGTTATTATTTGATGACTTATGACTGATTTTCATTTCACGAATTAATTTTGAGAGCTTTTTAGCAGAATAAAAGATCGATATAGAAGTCCGTCTTTGTTCGATATTTAGTGAGAGACAAAGATAAAATGACTCTATAATAATTTGTGTCAAAGAATTGAGAAGCAACACTATCTCCAGTCTTTATTACTACTTTTACAATCGAAAGCGAATAAAGATTAAACTCAAATTTCTATTTTTAGCGCATAGCAATTCCCATAGCCGGCCGATCGAGGATACAATTAAACCTGGAGGTACGAAAGGCAATCGGCGTGCCGTTTCTCGGGAATCTGAAAGACGGCATGATCCTTCCACTTATCTGGGTCGAAATCGGGATAGACGAACTTCCGGAACAATTGTTGGAAATGATCCAGAGCGCACATTTCACAATGGGCAACATTGAATTGGCTTTGCAATGGAGTACTTTGATAACGATGATACTCTCCTTCAGTGCTATGATTACTTGTTTTTGGAAATCTCGTTCGAAACAGAATGTGGTTCTCCGAAGAAACTCATTCGTTCAAAATAATCTTCTTGAGATGCTCTGAATGGAATGGAAACCGCTTGAAAAAAATGAATGAACGAGCGAAAACCGTCGCGATCTATTAAAAAAAAAAAAGAAAACATGAATTCAAAAGATATCAGAACTATTTTTATAGTCTAATTTTTTAGACGTTTGAATTTTGTAAAGGTTTCTTGAGATTTTTGTGCTCGAGATGTTCGATTAAAGACAAAAGATGCCGACAGTTTCTTTCTCGTAAAGGTACGGAAAAACGAATTTGGGTCAAGTAAAGTAACTCGGTAACATAAATGATAATTGTTGTGCAATTAGAATAATGTATATTACTGGCAAACTATATTAATCATTTCTATACAGAGAGAGTTTGTCATTGAATATGAAGTATAATTTCAATGTGATAATGAAAAATAGATAATGATTAATGGATTGCTCGAAGAAAAAAAACGATAAAATGCTCATCCATATGAAATTTTTTGCTAACTTTGAGGTTTGATGAAACGTTTAACAAGTGAGTTTATTCTGGATCTTAGGAATGATATTTCTATTTTTATTTATCAAATAATAATGTTTTCAAAAATATGATAAAAATTTTAATATTAATATTCGTTCATAAAGTTAAAGGACATTTTTTTAATTGAAGAGCTTAAAAACAATCAACAAGCCTCTTTTTATTCATATGCGATCCATCACGGAATCATTTCATATCATGCAAATAATCAATCCGGTGAACGCAAAGTCTAAGAGAATGCCGATAGACCAGTAATTCCTATAATAAGTTGACGTACCGTTGTTGCATCGTGAGAAAGTGACAGAGAGACACGCCCGCAACACGGCCAAAGTTGTGATTGAGACTTTAGTGCATCGGAAATAATGTGTAATTATGCCGGCGTCGATAGTTAGCATTTGCATCGTCGTGTTATTACTTGATGGTGTCGCTGACCGCGACGATGCGTTACACCGCGACATAATGATCGACCTGTACTTAATTAAGTGATGATGCACACGCGACGGCAGTACGTATTACATACACTGAGAAAAAAATATTATTGATTCAATTAAAGTCTATTACGGGCTGTCACTAACATAGTAATTAATTCATGTATATTTTTATTGACATAAAAACCTTGAGTATTGAAATAATAATTTATGCCTTTATATCGAATAAAAATATACATGCCTTTATGTCAAATAAAAAATATACATGAATTAATCACTTATGTTAGTGACAGCCCATAATATAGACTTTAATTGAATCAACAGCATTTTTTTCTCAGTATATGACCGTTCAATTATAATGAGCTTGTTGTCTCAACGATGAATTCGATACAGATTTCTTTAATGTAGAATGTAAGATTTTTGCAGAATTAGATATGTATATAAATTCACATAAAAATATTTAAATATTAAGGTTCACTTTGGTTGAATTTCTCTTATTTAATTAAATTTATTCTCAGTGGTCCAAATTCGTATATAACTTTTATCTCATTAGGGGCCCACGAGACTCGCGATATTTATCGATGTACACCATGTATTTACCTATCTTTCTCTAATTGTAATAAATCCAAATGCGGAGAGAAAAGATTTTCTGTACGTTTGATGTTGTATATATGTATGTCTGATATTATATACAGACGCTAGTATCGTTATTTTTCATTTTACTACACTGGTTGAAAAAGAATTTATTTTAGTTTAGAATTTATTGCGGCAGATATTTATTTTTGGCATTTACAATTATCCCTACGACGACCTCTTACTTACCTTTGTAGGTGTCCTTGCTCCTTTTATCTCACGCTTCATTTCGAGAAATATCCTTTTATAGCTAACCATATATCTATACAAATCGTTCGTTGCGCTTGATTTATCGCTGAATCGTCTACATGAGTTCACATTTTGATAACCCTAACAACACGAGGTCTTATTTCATCGGACATCGGAAACTTATTTTCGTATAAAGTGCATCGTCTGCACGCACACACATCGTCCATCGTAATGCGTGTGGACGATAAAAGCATAATGTGTCGCAACGCGATATCACGTGAATAGGAGTGGAATAATCGTGAATATCAAATCAATCTCTGTATGTCGTATCATAAAATTAATTCTATCATATATTTTCTTCATTCCTCCTGCATTCATTTCTCGAATGAGTCCCTAATCCTCTCTGTTCCTCAGACGCAAGAGAAGCGAAAGGGCGAAAAAAAATTCGAAAACACTTGAAAATTTCCAGCATAAAAGAGAAGAGACGTATAAGAATAAGGCGTGAGCAATAAATCAGAGTTGAAGAGTTCCTATTCCTTTTTCTCTCTTTCTTTCATATCTGGAATTTAAATCAAAATATCAGATTGGTGCAAAAGATTTATATTTATCAAAATATATGAAAAGCATAATTTAAGAAAATCCAAAAGAAAAATTATCACTATTAAATTCCAAAAAGAAGTTTTCACTTTTTAAGCAACTTTTAAGCTTCATTTTTATTTAATATGAAAAAAAAACGATAAATCTTTTGCAGCAAGCTAATAGATTGTAACTCTATTTTTTTTTATAGAGTTTACATATACGTGTAATTTTCGTAAGTTAATAAAGTTGAGAAAGAGTATAGTTATCTAACTATATAACGATTACGCTGACACCATTAACCAGATTTCTCACGCTCGCGCGTAATTTGGTATCTTTTGATTTTTATCATACAAAAGTAATTTATTTATTAAATCTAATTATGATCTACGTTTAATAATTATTTATAATAATAATAATAATAATAATAATAATACATGTACAAACGAATAACGAGAAATAGTACAATTTTGATAATTACAATCGATGACGACAACGACGGTCAGGTTCTATGTACAGAAAAAGAGATTTCTGTCGTTCCGCTGTCGTTCTCGATTACACAAACTACTCGTCGCAAACACACTCGTGCAATCCAAATTGAAGTCATGAACGAAACTTGTCCTTGGAACAACGGCATGGACGGAATATCAATTTCATCCTTCATCTTTTACGTCAGTGTTCGCAGCGATAATTGCTTCGCATGATTAAACGATGATCCTTGAAAATCAATTCGATCGTGCGGAGCAAAGAGCAGCTCGTTATTAATATTAATAATCCTAAGAAAAAGAACGGTGTTGCGTCATTATAAATCCTAATCGCCGAGTTTTTTCTAGCAATGACTCGACTTCAATTTCTTATTTCCGTGTAGTATCGTAAAAAAATATTATAGTAAAACATTCGTCAGCTTAATTGCCCATTCCATAATGATAATGTCAAGGTAGAAAAAAATAAAATAAATCTAAATATAAACATAAAATTCTATTTTTCGATTAATTTATCAGCTAAGAAGTAAACAGTGGAGTTTAAGAATCCGCGACGAAGCGTGGATCTCTCGCAATGTTTTCGTCGGGAAGATCTAGATTTTATTCACTCTCAGATATTTCCGAATTTTCTCAACTCAAATTTTTAACTCGATCTTTCACGAAGGAAAGATCTGTCGATTCGTCACAATTACGTCTCGACCAACAAGAGAAATAACGTCTACAGATCTCGAATTCGTCGTCGACTGTTGTTCGCGATTAATTTATACTTGTGCGACTCAACACCGTCTAACAAAACACCATCCCGAGAAGAAACACACGTAATATAAATAAATTTAATATACCGACTGTCCGCAGTGACACATCCCGATAAAAATTCGTGTCTCATTGGACAACCTCTCCCTCTTCTCTCTCTCTTCATCCCAAACAGAAAGTCAATCATTTTGACATCAAAATAATGTCAAAATGACTTCAAAATGAATTATTAAAAGTCATTTTTCAATCATTTATGATTTGTTTTAACATCAAAATAATGTTATCTGATGTCAAAATGATGTAACTTGTTCCAGACAACACATCCAAAAAGGAGACGTAAGATGTTTTACAAACATTTTAAAGATATATCTTGGGTGCATCCCGTTTTGTGCTTACAGCGCTTAGCATTATTTGTTTAATATTTGATAGACAACAAGGATAAATTGATGCTCACAGCGTGTGAACGTGAAAACGAAATCTAACTCTCGATTTTGGACTTTTTGTTGTCTAGGATTGTTCCGCTTTTTCTTTCTCTCTTGCGAAATTGAATGTGAAAATCTTAATCGAGATATAAAGCACATGCCCGTCGCCTATAAGATAAGTAAGATTATCGTACAAGTCCTCGCGAGATACTCGCACGCTACTCGGCGCGCGACTCGTCTCGCGGGGTGGAACTCCGAGAACTCGCGCACTCGTTTCGATTCCCTCACTTGAACTAGTTGAACTCTACTTGCTGAAAGCAGGATTCAGCTGACCGGTCTTGGTGTTCGTCGCGTTCGCCGGCAATGGGTTGCTCAGGTGTAGCTTTTCCTGGCGCTTGGCGGCGCGCGCCAGGCACATAAGCGCACCGAGCAGGACGATCGCGCCGATCACGGCCAAGGCGCCGGACACCGCAGCATGGGCCACTGGTGGCAATTCTACCGCCAATTTCAGCAGGGAACGCATCTCCGGAGGTAGTTCATCAACGCACTGCGAAATAGAAAAGAAAACATGTCATTGATATCGGGACTAGGTTTAGCTCCGTTTAACAGAAAAAACTACTTTGCAACTATTATAAAAATTCTTTTATATGATTGGTTTATATTTAGATCTAATAAAGAACTAAGATTAATCATATTAGAAAATTTTACAGTTTCAAAGCTGCTTTTTTGCTAAATGTAACTTTTGTAAAAAAAGAGAAATACCTCTGCTCAATTCATCTATCTTTAAATTAAAAAAAGAAAGAAAGAAAAGCTAAATAAGAAGAGCGCCATTTAAAATGGAATAATACATATACATTTAAGTAGTGTACAAGTTCAATTGTAACGTTAATTCAACTTTAAGCAAAGCTTAAAATTCTCTCCTTTTCTGTTTCTCTTTCGATTTTAGAGAGAGAGAGAGAGAGAGAGAGAGAGAAAGAAAGAGCTTCTTTTATTTATGACAGTTTCTACCAATGTAATTTAATTTTAACCTTGATTCAATTAATTCTTTATTTTTCGAAGAATTACAAATTCCAAGCATTAATTCTATCAATATAAGATTAATTTTAATCTCAATTCAATTTACCTTCTTTTAATTTTAAGAATTAGAAAAAGATAATAAATAGTTAAATCAAGATTAAGTTAATCTTACATAGGTAGAACCGGGCTTTAATTGATTTAATTATATATTTGACGGTCTTGTGTGTATTTCTTATTATTGTTTAAAAAATTAATTAATTAATTTGTTGTTAAAAAAATCAATCTGAAGATCGCCAAATTATTTTGAAAAATTTCTCTTATTGTCACTAATTATACATTTCGATAAAAAATTTTTTTTCAAATCATGTATTTTTCTCTGCCTTGCAACACACTTAAGCATTTAATTGTTTATAGTTACATAATCTTATAATTATATAATAATTCTGCATAACGTGTTCATTGTAACGTCTCTCTCTATTTTAAAGCCTTTTTTTTATTGAGTTTTCTTTTATCGTTTTATAACGTTTGAAAACATATAATTACTAATATTGGTCCTGTCCATAAGGTCAAAATAAATTACTCTAGATCATTCTACTTATATATGTACATATGGTAATATATTAATGCTCTCACAATTAATATGGATATATTCGTAATATTGCTAATTTCATGAATATTTCTCTCACTTAGGAAATAATATTTAAAATAAATAAATTAAAAATACACTAAAATATAAAATAAAAAAAGAAATATTAGCTGTAAAATACATTATGTATGAAAAATTTAAGAATTAAAGGACATGCAGTTCGGATCTTATTTAAGGCAAGCTGTCGACGGAGATGTAACCTCAAACAAGAAGATCAATGTTCGTTTTCACATTTGCTTCAGCGAAAACGTTTCTCAAGATGATCAAGTCAAAGTTCCTCGCAGTCTCGAGTATGTGCCGTCTCGAGTACAAAGAAAATTCTCAGAGTCGGAAAGTATGTTCCCTCTCTTTTTTTTTCTCTCGTCGCGGCACGGCACGGGGACAACGTCAAACTCTTTATTAGCAAGTCGTCGAGACAAGTTCCATTAATATGAATCATGGACGAAAAGCGTGCGACAATACGTCCTCCTCTACGTGCATGGTATTCAAACGCACGTCGTTGCCGAGCAGCGAAACGGCGAACGGCAGGCACGTTCCCGTCATTGTCGAGGCTACGAAGAGGCAGAGATGAAAATTTCACCTGCATAACTGACTCGAGGATGATGGCGACAATTTGTAAGCGACATGGTGTTCCGTTGTCAGTAACTAGAGAGGGAACAAATCCTTGAGGAGAGCTCGATTCGCAAAACGAGCATCATGCTTATTTGATCGAAGTGGCTCGCTAAATTATTCAAGATTTGGAAGGGACACTTCTCATGCGATTGTTAATGAATAATAATTAATCTCTTGTAAATCTTATCCATCTCGATCTGCGTTTCTCTGTGCTGAAGCGTGTTATACTTTATTTTGATATTCAAGAATCCTGTTTTGTGAATGAATGCATCGTTTTATTTCCATTTTAAATGTTCATTTCGTGCCATTTTTCGTCTTTTTTTCTTTCATTTTATCATTCTTCCTTCGAAGTCAATAGAAAAGTTGATTCACGCACTGACATGGGCACAATGAGAATTTTCCGATATATTTTTAAAATATATTTTTGTTTTCTTTTTATTTAGTCATTTTTATGTGTTTTACATATGACACTTAAGAAGGACAAGCGAGTTTCTAACATCTTCTCACTTACCTCGAAGCTCTCATTAGCACAATTAACAAAATTTACACTACGTTTGCAAATTTAATAATTGATTTTCTTAACAGATAATTTATTTATAACAATATCAGCTATAAAATTATCAGCTATAAAAAAAGCAATTATCTCTATTTTTTACTTATATTCTAAATTTAGGATTTATAATTTAATCCATGCGCGAGTTGCTGTGCTCATTTAGCATTTAATTACGTTTGCGTAAGAATTTACACTAAACACGCTACGATTCATGCTATTTAGCACAAATTAAAAATTTTGCAAAAAACTAACTGCAAATTCGATATGTAATGCATTTTTTCAATATCGTGAGACGACAGATAATAATCGAAAATTCAAACATTGCGAGAGATTCATCTTATCAAGAATATTGTAATTATGACTATATCACATAATGCATTAATTATCATGTGATGTTACGTATGATATATAAATAGCATTATTATATTATATTATTAGTATTCTTATATAATTACTAACACAAAATCAATGGATACTCTAACAGCATAGACCTTCAGAGGATGTCCTGAGGATGTCCATAAGTTCTTTGAACATTCTAAGGACTGTATCCTCAGGATGTGTCCCAGATAAAGTGTGCTATTAGAATATCTAACAGAATCTATAGACAATAGCTAGATATAATTAAAAAGTATCATATACTTACATCCTCAAACCACATAATGGGGAAAATAATATCGGGGAATGAAGCGACCTGCTTAATATCTCGCACCTGGCTAACTGCGAGATTAATTTGTACCCTCGCTCGCGCCTTCATAGCCATGCCCATTATAGGCTGTACGTCAATGTAGAGCTGATGTTTCTCGGGATCCGGCGGAGATATGCCTGTCACAGCTTCCCGTAAGGCTGGATCGGCTGGAAAAAAGAATCAAGCAACATAAGATTCTAAATCACTCGACAAAACTAAGCTATTATTACTCTCTCTCTCTCTCTCTCTCTCTCTCTCTCTCTCTCTCTCTCTCTCTCTCTCTCTCTCCCTTGTTATCTATCGTGTTATCTTATATCGCCATAAATTTGAAAAAATTATAATAATTGCCGTATTAATTTGCGTATATAATCTGTTCCCTGTCTAACTTTTTTATATTATTGTTATCGTTTATTCCAGGAAATTCATTAAAAAAAACTTAAAAAAGACATAGACATATTAATTTTATACATATATTATATACATATATTTTGTTCTTTGTCAAACTTCTGTTTTATATTACATTATTGTCACGTTCAAAAATTCTTTTGCTTATTCTATATTTGTTATTCTTTATATTTTTTATATTCTTAGAGAATTTGTCCTAGAATGTATTGGGTTGTCCAGAAAGTTCGTGCCACAAAAGATTTAAATTTAGTAAATGAAATTGAAAATTTAAATCTTCTGCGTTTCAATTTTCCTTCAAAATCGGCACGAACTTTCCGGACAACTCAATAGAATTAATAAAAATGTTGTTTTATTTATCTATCTAGCTCTATTTCTACAAAATTAAATTACTATTAATATCATATCTTTATAAATAATTATGATATAATTTCTTCGACTTTTGATATTAAATTATTTTGCAAATTCGTAAAACTAGTTTATGTTTATTTAACGTGAATCAGCAGAGATGCCAGTTTAACCATTAGTCTGGTTACGCTCGTGTCTTTACATAATAACATTGCTTCGTTACTTCGCAGTGTCAAAAGTCATCACGTGCGGTTATACAAAATGGACGTAATGCACTACAGTTAAGTAGCACTTCATCGTCAGTCGAGTGGTTTAAGAATTATATTTAAGACTCTTAAGGTATTTCAAAATAGAAAAGGAATGATATTCTAGAAATGGAATTCATCATTCTATCTGTTTTTTCCATTGTTTTTAAATAATGATTAAGAAATCAAAATAATGATGCCCACGCAACTACTTTTATTATTTTCACATTTATAATTAAATGACTTTTAAAGCAAATGTTCATATAATTATTAACACAAACTAACATTTGACCATTGTACTCTTTTTTTTGAAGAATGTTGCAGATGTAGGAGTCATTTACAGAATATTTTATGCCAAATTCGTAAAGGAATTCGCATCAAAGATGTCTTATGTTATGAATGAAATCGAATATCATAAAGTATTTTGAATAAAGTGTCTCAAATTAGGAGGAACAGTTCCAAATTTGGTCTCAAATTAAGAATATGAATTATCTCTCTTTTAAATATGAAAACAATAAATATAAATAATAAGTAAAAATAATAAATATGAAATATAATTTTCAACTAAATTCTGTAAAGAATTTTCTGTTTTTTAATTTAAAAACCTCGATATTATTTCATAAAATACATCAATAAAAAAATACAATTTAAAAAAATAAAATGTGATCTCGTAACTTGATGTAATGTAATTGTTATTATGATCTCATACATAATGTTATATACATTAATTAATTATTAGTTTTTTACTTCTATCTTGTAATTATTAGTCATTTAAAAATATAATAATATAACATTGTTCATGTGTTTCATAAACAATTACAAAAAAAAGTTTATTTATAAACATTTAATTATGAGTTAATATCGATTTTTTTTTAAATGTCTCTCTCTCTCTCTCTTTTTAAGAAATCATTTAAATTTTGTGTTAGATAAACGAAATCGAGTATCTTGTGCATTTTATTTTACGAGAGAAAGATTTCACGACGATTTCATGACGGTGAAACTAGACTTCTACTGGAGCGTCATCTAAAATCTGGAGCGTTGAAAGTAAAAGTTTGTGCGGTGCGAAAATATATGCGCGATAAATGCGAGAGAAACAATTTGTATAATATTTCGTGGGAAAATCACGGCGGATGCGTGAAAGAGATTGTTCCTCCTACTAGGAAAAATAGGTCTCATAGTAACAGACTGTTCGACCGACTCCAACTTCTAGTTACAGTCGCACAGAGCCGGAAACGACAAGTAAATCTCGCTTACGAAACTAGCACGCACGTAAGCGATCTTCGTTAGCCAGTCAGTCGATTACCTGTTCTACGTAAAGAAAAGGAGACACATGGGCACAAGAAGAATTGGTTTGCTTGACAGCGACTAGGAAGTAACGACGAGAGATCGCAGACACATAGATGAAGCATCGGTGACGTGAGGAAGGAAAATGCACTATGTGTTGCATATACAACGCAAACAGACTTATCGCGATAATCTGCTAAGAAAATAATTCTCGGTAAATTATGTATTGCGCTTACGTAAGACGATACACTTTTATATACACGCAAGAGATTGATCGCGTAACGATCGATCCAGATGATGTTTAGATTCACAGTGTCGGAAATTCATGACACGATACATTACGTCAAGTATCGGATGATGTGCATTGCGTTCTACGATTAGCAGAGCTCGCAATAAATCTATAATAATAATAATAATTACGGCAAAAAGAAGACACGACATTTGCTGTGTTACTCAATCATTTCTCGTCATCTTGACGTATATATCATCCGACTTTAAGATATTGCAATTAATTATGATAAGTACGATAATTGCCAATAAATAAAAATATCCCGACTCGAATCTCATTACGATAATTTGTAAATGAGGTTTCGTCGATGAGGCCAGAAACCGCGTTACGTGACACTTACCAAGGTAGAAATGCGGAAAAGTGATGAGAACTGGCGAATCGTACTGGCACAGGGAGACGTTGAACGTGCCCTCCGGTGCACATGGTGGTCCAGCTGGACAGTAACACTGTTGCGACGCCATATTTTCTACCGAGGTGAAGACATTCGTCGGCGGGGCGAATCTGTAGCCAGGGACTCCTCCGGCGGCTATTACTTCGCGCTAGAAGACAAGATTTTCTTTGATGCGCAATGATCAATACTTTATTGAAAGCATTGATTCATATTTGTAAAATTAGTCGCCCTTTTAAATAAATAAAAGCATAGCTTTTATGGAAAAAATGATTAAGTAATTTTTGTCTTACAAAATTATATCGTATAGTAAAAATATTCTGATTATTTTTGTCAAACTTATGACAAACTTTATTTGTATCTGAAAAATATCGAAATGCAAAAATATCGAGAGATATAAGGAAAATGTTACAATTATAGTAAATTTATTCAAATGCTTATTTTCAGAAAGGTCATACTTTATTCTCAAGATTATAAACATGTACAACGCTCGAGAGATTTCATATACTTATATTTTTTACCGCGCAGTAATTTTATCAACGTAAAAAATACTCATTGATAAAATAAGTTTTATAGTCTTCAGTAGCATAAAATTTATAACTTTACGAAATGTAAAAAATATCTTACAATATAGCTATACGGCGATGATTCATTTACTAGGAAAGTAAAGTAAATTTTACATAAATAAGCACCTATTCCTATACGAATTTTTTATTTCCATAAAATTTATTAAAATTCTAACACATATTAATTATGTTTTTCTTTGTGCGGGATTAAAAACAAAAATGAAAACTCTAAGAAATAATTTTTACTAATTTTGTTTCTTATATTTAGCTTCCATTCAAGTTTGACATTTTCCATCGAAATTAAAAATAAAATTAAAATTAAAATTGCCGAGTCAAATTATTAAAAAATATGTTACTGACTTTTGTTTACATAGTATTTTCAATATTTTTATTCAAATAACATAACAATTAGGAAATGTTCCACTAAATTAGCAAAAATTTTGAAATCTTAAAAATATTAATTGTTATAATTCGCAATGCAAAAAATAACTTTAGTTTCTAAAAAAATTTTATCATGATATTGATCGAGATATTAATGTTATTGATTGTTTATGTTATTCATTATAATATTACTATTAAATTATATAGAATGATACACTATGAAAACAAAAACAGAAATGATTTTTTTCGATATCCTCCTGCTTTCAGATTTTATTCACCTCGAAAAATTATTAAGTCAGAATTTGAAAAAGCCATCAAACGTCTGTTGTCGTATCAGTTGAATAATTAAAGAAGACCAATAAAAACACAAACCTGATAAACCAGCGGCAACGTCCGGCAGAGATCTTTCTCGAAGACCTTGAGCACGGTCTGCTTCGTGATATGAGGCGGGAATATGCTGCCATCGGTGCCCATGATGGAGTCGCATTCCTTCGTGGTCCAATGGCCGAGAGCGTCCTTGCCGTTCCACCTGTCCATTAATCCGAATTTGGTGATATCAGTACTGCCTGTAAACATCGTGTACAAATCCGTCCCAGTCGCATTCTTGCCATAAAGCAGACCGAACTGATCATACGGCAGTTTTTGTTCCTTGGGCACAACGTCCTTGGCCAGCTTGAGCAGAGGATCATCGTAACCCCAAAGTAGCTGGTCGACCGACACTTCGACGAATGGCTTGATTTTCAGAATGTCCATGATGGATGCCATCGCCAGTCGTAGGAAACGAGCGGCGTGTTTCGATTGACTGGTAGCTGATAGCATAGGAACGTTCGGAACGACCACCAAATCATCATCGGAACCGGATGACAGATCCTAACATTTCGATGAGAAAAGAAAGAAAATGAAAATCTGATCGAGTGAAAAATGACTGATTGAATGCAATAACAGGAAAATTTGTAAAAGAATAAATATACGATAAAAAAATCTATTTTAGAATAAAAAGGAATAAGGATTAACAATAATTAATCCTTAGTATAATGATTTTTCAGTTTTATTGCACACGATAGGTATATTAATTTCAAACAGACAAAATTAAAACTACAGTATTTAATAATTAATTTAATAATAAGCAAATTATACACTATTAGCGTGTCTTTAAGATACACTATTTTTTTATTTAAAAAAAAGTTCTATATAAACGTTATAACTAATTACTTAATGTTTTTAGATTTCCGAAGAAAAAATCATGCAAAACATGAATGACTCAATCGTGTATACTAAGAATTAACATACGATAAAAAGTTAATAATAGCGTATTATTATATAAAATTAAAAAAATGCTATACAAAAGTATCACGCATATATAGAAAAGCAGTGCAATGAAATAAAAAGATAGGAATACGTAACGATAATAAAATAATTTGCAAAAGAAACAGAGATCATTCAGATAAAGAATGAAAATCCACATCAATTCGTGAACCGTTACACAGCATCCGCATAATAAATATTTTCTTCCATAAATTTTCTCTCGAAGCAAGAACGGTCCGTGTACATATTGTCTTTCTTGTCGCTTGTACGATAATACACTTGACTACGCCATGGAAACGTTTCTCTGAAACGTCGAATGTAGAAAGTCACGACAGTGATTTCGATGCGCGAGCAAGAGTAGCCGTGCAGCCGCAAGTTGACAGAGGAAACGCGGTTATGACGAATTTAAATAAACCCGGAGGCGACGTGACGCCTTCGATTGTCATTCAATGCGGATTCACTGATTTTTTTTTTTTCTTAGTAGTCGACGTTATTCCCGTACTTGAACAAACGAACAATCAAAGATTATGATACATCTTATGCGTTAAAGACGCGCATTGTCTTGAATTCTAATCAAATGCTTCTTATGATAAAAATATTTTAGTCTCGGTCTCAGCTGTTTTAATGAATCATCTTGGAAAATATTCGCGTAAAAAGAACGCTAAACATTAGATATTTATATGTTTGTATAAAAAAGTTAAATATATAAGAAAATTAAATAAGAAAATTAAATATTTATATGTGTATGTTTTCATATTTTGTAGAAAGCAATGACTTATTGTATAATTAAAAGATACATGATGTAAGTTTAGAAAAATTGCAATTTTAATACGGAAAAATATAAATTTAAAATAATTATATATTGAATTTTAAATAATTCAACACCGGAAATTAAACGTTTATTAAAAGATCAATATTGATATACCTATATCTAAATGTAAATCAAAAAATTTGGAAGAAAGCGAGAGTTTTCAATTAACATTACTGCTGTATTAATTAGATAAGGGCTTACTGAATTAAAGATGAACGTCTTTTTGACTTTGTAGGTGACGGTTCCATTATCGTTGAATTTGATATCCACCTTCTCCCAACGTTGTTCGTAAACATACGGACCCAGCTCCTGCAGCGCTGGTTTCTCGCCATTGTTCAAAAATTCGTCAGCGTTCGTCACATTGTAGATGTAAATTTGCATACGTGGCACGACCGGCGGCTGCTTCCAGAATTTGAACGCGCGTCCGCCCTCTCGTATCGTAAGCTCCTTGTCCAGGATTAAGTTGATAAGATTCGGAAATAGAACCGCTAGGACGGCAGCCAGGATTATTAGCAAGATTCCGCACGAAACGGCCGCCCCTGAGGAAGAGGAAGGAAAGATGAGTCACTGCCGTTAGTTAGAAGTGCTCTTTGGTTTTTTTTTAACGTTGAACAGAATTCGCATTAAAAATCATGAGAATCAGTATGTTAAAATAAGTAAAAATAGAAAGGCATTTAGAATTCTCTTATATTTGCAGCCATTGTAATCAAAGTACAAAATTAATTTATTTCGATGTATATTGTATGAAAGAAGAAAAAGTTTCTCGTTTCTGGACTCGTGATTTCATGCGGTATTATTGAAGTAACGGCAGCCTTAAGAATCGTAAAGCATTATGCTTTAAGAATTTATTCCTATCAATTCAAAAAGTCGAAAGGGAACATAGAAACGGCAAAATTTATTTATTTCACGAAGATTTATATTCCATTTCTGTTGATTCTTTCTATGTAATCTTTCATTTTTACACTTTGTATCAGAGATAACAATCCCGGTGACCTGGAATAATTAACACGATTATCTTTCGAGTAATTATGAATGTAATTACGTCACAATCTAACGATCTTCGATCAAGGTTGTCGACCTATCAATCGACTCAATCAGCAGGAGTCAAACACAAAAAGGAACAAGGATAGCTGATTTTGTAAAAAAGATGCGTCTTATGTGTCTTCCTGAAACGGTCATCTTTCTTCCCGCCACATATATAATGTCGCGGTTATATCCCAGCGGGATAAACTTTACGTCCCTTTTAATGATCGTATCAAATTGGATCGACGATTAGGATTAACGGTTACCTCGGTCCTATTTCAATGAACTACAATGAGAATCTCATTTAATTGATAAAATAATCAACTGATCTCTTATTTATGAGCAAATAAATTCTTAATTGATGCAATGAAATAATTAATTAAAGCGAAAAATTTGATTATTGTTTCATTTTACTTGTTTCTGATAACATACAGTTTGCGATACTTGCTTTAGCATCTTCATTCTCTCTCTTTTCGCTTGATTATATATATAT